AAAAAAAAATACAAAAATATTTACATAATTAAGAAATTCCTACTTCCCTCAGATCACCATTTCGGCCAAATTGTCTAAAAAAACAGAAGAGTGGAGAAAAGGAAGGAACAAAAAAAAGAGAAAAGAATGACAACAGGATCTTTATAATTGCCTCTATTCCCAAAATCAACAGATTTGGACTTTAAACTAACCGTAAATCCTTTATTCTAAACTTTCTGGATTTCTTTAGAACCAGAAATATTTTTCGAAGATAAACGATTAGTACCTTGTTTCTTTCTCCGGGGATTGTCTAGAGCTGCAGATTTCACTAGTGGACCAGACCATGTGGAGACTGATTGGCCCTTCTGGTAGGGGAAGACTGAGCTATAAGGAACATTTGGGGGGTCAAAAGTTGAATCAATGTGAGTTGGAGATCCGACGGGATAGCCGAGCGCTCCGTCCTGATGAGGGGGAGGGAATTTCTCGCTCTTGCTCTTCGCATTCGCATGTGTAATCAAACGCCGTCTCTGTCGAGAAAAGAAAAGAGATTTAAGTAATTAAATTCAATTATATTGAGCGGATTAGTCATAATTGGATCAGAATATGTGCACGGCTTGACGAAATCTGCTCGAACATTTCTTGCATAACTGAGTTGTTCTATAGGGAGAGACTAAATTTTATGTTTCTGTAGAAGAATTAATCAGGAAGTAAATAAGTTTGGTGATAATGTGAGAACATTCTCTTCAAATGAACCCATGTGGGAAGTAACCTTTTTTACTAAATATACGACAAAAGTAAACAGATATATAAGGGAAAATTTAATTGAAGAACCTTAAGGCTTTAGTTCCTTATATTTTGAGCTACAAGTCCATCATTCTTAACTTATTAGTAAAGACGCATTTAGATATCGCCATTACAAAAACCAGTATTACATTCAGATGCAAGAATGAGGACAACAGCCATGTACATAGAAATGAAAGAATCTTTACATTTTACAGCTCAAATTTCAAGATTTTATAGTTATCTCAAATTCTCAAAGCTTACTCACTTCAAACCAAACTTCCTGAGAAGTTCACTTAAGTTTCAAAAATTATATAAATAGCTTTTCCTAACTTCAATGATTGACATTATTTATACCAAGCAAATCCATTGGAAAACCTTCTAACTAGATGAAACAAAAAATGTTCTGAAGTCTTCATATAGTACAAACTTTGAATTATCTCTCATAAATGAGAACAAAAAAAATTAATTAGTTAATTAATTAATTAATTAATACAAAAGAAATTTTGTTTTTAGCTCTAGAGCATGTTGAATTATGAACATTTCTCTAAGCTTAAACATGAAAATTTTCTTCAAGAAAATCTGAAATTAAAATTTTATTTCTTTTCATCACAGACGAAGAAACATGACTCGCTACATCATAACTTTTCACCAGTTGGATTACTTTTATTGAAAGAGGTTGCCGATCCACAAGAAATGCATGTCTTACCTAAATCAATTCAATTAACGTGAACTATTACTCGAGAAAAACTAGATGGAACATTGCCAGTAATCATTTTTAATGTTTTGCCCATCTTCACCCTCTCCTATAATTTTTACAAGAGCGCGGAAATTACCCCTACATGTGCATCATATCTAAATGGACAATTATTCAAATCAGTGATAGACATAAAAAATTTTCTTGGAAGCTCGTTACTAACCATACAACAACAACAACAACAAAGCCTTAATCCCACTACGTGGGGTCGGCTACATGAATCCTTTTTCTCCATTGCATCCTATTTAGTGTCATATTTTCATTTAGTTCTAGTAAATTAAGATCATTTTTAATATTTTTTTCAAACGTTATTATACAAATAAAATCAAGTTCATGAATGATGGATGCATAAAATACTCTATGCAATGGTAAAAAAAATGGCATGTGATGATTCAAGGATATTTGTATAGGAAAACCATAATTATGCCATGATATCTACTTAAACATTCATTAGAGTGGAATGTTTCTATGTTGAGGACAAATGATGGAAACTAGAATAATAAACGCAAAATATTTAATCAAAAAGCTCTAACTCGAGCAATATTCTCCCTGGGTCCTACGATAGAGATCACAGATTTAAGTTTAGCCTATCACATTCTTTTAATAACCATTAAATAACTCCCAACACGGAATTAGATCTATAACCAAACCATAAACAATCATTATTTGCAACTAGTCTTGTACATACCTATTTTCAACTGGTTTTGAATCCAACATTCAACAACAACAACAACAACAACAAAGCCTTAATCCCACTACGTGGGGTCGGCCACATGAATCCTTTTTCTCCATTGCGTCCTATTTAGTGTCATATTTTCATTTAGTTCTAATAAATTAAGATCATTTTTAATACAACATTCAATTAATAAAATTTTGAAATGTGTCATTCATTAGAATGAGGAATTTTACCTTATATGCCAAATAATAGGGAAATAAGAGAAATACAAAAGTAGTCAATACCTTCTGTTGAATAGTTAAGCAACCCTTCAATAATAGGAGCTCATTAATAATTTTTCCTAAATTTCGATATCTCCATTTCTGAAGATTACAAAGCATGCATGTTCAGGCTATAATGAAATTTCATAATGAGGGTTCTAACGCCATTCATCATCTATGAAGGTTACTGATATCAATTGTTAGCTATTTAAAATTGATTTGATGTTCTCACTATAAAATGTAAGCATGGAACATCGATAGACATCATATTAGCTACTAGTATCTGGTTATAACTATCTTTAAATCACCTTCATCTTGGAACTATGATTAAATCATGATAAAAAACCTTCAAACAAGGATCGGATACTCTCCATCCACTAAATATTGTCAATCATGATCAAATAATCTTCAAACTATCTTTGAATCATGATCAAAATCATCTTAAAACTTCATCAATAATGTTTACTAATGATCGAATCATAATTTGAAGTTAGTTCAAAGGTTTTTGAGTCATAAACAAAGATAGTTTGACAATAATCTAATCATGGTCTGATCGTTATTCAAAGGTGGTTAAAAAATTATTTGTTCATGATTGAAGAAGATTAGAAGATGGTTTGATCATGGTTCAAAAATTATTTGATCAAGATTTTATATTATTTAAAGTTAGCTCGAAGATTATTTGATCATGATTCAATTTTGAACACGGACGACAATTCTCCAAATTACATAGTTATGAGCATTTTATTTTTCTCGTTGAATCATTTTGCTATGTATCTAGATGTCTGCCACAAACATACCGAATAAGGCTTTAAACTCATCAGGTTGTAGATAAAAATGAGGGTGTAATGGACAAATTAGTAATAATGTTTGAGTCTTCTGACCTCATTGGCAAGGCAAAATCCTGTTTCGATTACTTCTCTAAATATCCTAAAATGCAATTCTTTAAGACCCTAAATCATCAACTATTATTAAGGATGATTGATGAAGAAAAAAATGGGGGATACTTTGTTGTGTTCAACATTGGAGTAAAAATAACATCTTCGGATTTGTTGAATTTGCCTTAACCATTGAATTGGAATTTGAAGAATCTTATATAAGGAGTTCCAGACTATAAGCGAAGCAAAAGGTTGCGAGAGAATTACTTAAATGGTGATGAGAACTTTAGAAATATAGATTTAGAAAAAGTTTTCCTATAGTACGCTATAATAGATGATTTGTAGAAGCTTGAGCTGTTCCTTCATAGATGGTGCCCAAATGTGACAAAAATAATGGTGTGCTCAATGAGATGGTTGACTTGGTTGAATATAAGGTATTTTTGAATAATCATGGAGTAGGCTAGCATGAAAGAAAACGCTGACATATATGAAGATAAATATGGTCCAATATAAACCATCGCTAAATATGCAACATCACTATAATATCCGGCCTATGAAACCATCCCAATGCTGCAAAGGAGATATGACGAGTTCTTTCCTGAGAAAGCACCGAAGATGTTGAGCTAAAAGAGTAACAAAGTGCTCATAGAAAAGGATTTCATGCACTTGTTGATAGATAAGGAGATAGGTACTCGATAATATCTTAAATTAAGCAGAGTATTTTTGCATAAATGGTGAATCATTAACATGTAACTTATTCCTTAAGGGATTTTTTATTCTATACTAATTTCTAGACCTGATGATGAAAGTCAAAAAGGGAAAGACACATTCCAAGTAAGGGAAAGATAAGCACCTCCAAGTAAGGGAGGCAATAGAACTATGGTTAACTATAAGTTAGACCATGCTAGCTTATGAGCAGTTGAAGCAGCATTTTGCAATTATACAAAAGTTAAAGAGCAGCCAGATTTGGTTGGAAAATAATCGAACAAGAAATTGAATGCTTAGACAAATTTTGTTCCTAATTTTTGTCTATATAAAGGATAGGAATGGGAATGAGGAGAGCTAGGTAGTGCATGCTACTCACCAGTCATTCACTTAGCTGAGATTGAGAATGAGAAGTAGAAGAAACAGGAGTTAGAGGAGATGAAGAAATCGGTGGAGAACATAAAAGATCAATCCCTTACCATTATAACTATAAAATAGGGGGTTGAGAAGGTCATAGATAGTTCTCTATCTCTTTGAATGAAATAGAAAAAAATCATTGGATTATATGTGAGATATCATTTCCTAATAGTACATGACATTGTATGAATTTGACCCCTCCAGCACCCCATGCAGATCTTGCAAACAATAAAAACTTCATTCTGCAAGTGCTTCCCCATATTTATTGAGCATTCAAAGTTATTTAATAACAGCTAAGATATATTTTATTAAAATCTCCTTAAAAGTGGAAGGATTAAATCTCCAAGTCTACAGTAAGATAATTCTTTCAAAATTAAAAAAAAATTAAATGTTAGCACATATAGTATGACAATTGCTTTAGAACTTATATATAGTGGGGAGTGTAGAGTGTAAGCTAGATAACACATCATGTATCGAATTTCAAAGAAATGTTTAATGGAAGTTTCACATGGTCATATACAATTCTTCAGAAACAGTTATTTTATAGCTCTTGAATTGCATAATTAAATTGACTATGAGCTATGTATGTTGTGTCATATCTTTTGAATTACATTATATGGTATTATGACTATTGCATTACATCTCTTATAATCTATTGTTGTATTTGCACACACTTTACCATATAAACTTCATAGTTTGTAGTATTATTCAAATTACAAACCTTATTCAAATTATAATCAAACCATGTTTGACGTTCTTTAATTGATATTTGATCTATATTCATACCTTGTTGGAACATTGAGTTAGGCTGAGCATGATTTGAAGAAGAGTTGCATAGTTTGAATAAGTTTAAAAAGTTGGTTTGAATATGAGCCCTAAACTTGCTAGTAGGGGTGTAAACGAGCCGAACACGAGCGTTGACCTCATTTTTAGTGAGATCTTAGTCTCATACTCCCAGAACCCATAATCTAGCCTTAGGAGTTCCTTGTTGACCATCCTAGCGGACTAGTAATGGAGCCCACCTCCCGTAGAATTTCGAGCCACTTCTTGACTCATT